GAGTTGGGAAATGCAAAGTCGGTCTTGGAGTATGTGCAAGTAAATTTTGGTGCAAATCCGTCGAAAATTGCGGCCGTGCATTCCTTACACACAGACACACACACACATCCTGCCTTTTATAGATAGAGATTCTATTTAGGGTTGAGGACTTAATTTACATAAATAAGAATAGAAAATCACAATAAAACTGATAAAAGTCTTTTTAGCTAATGTGGGATATTCCTTTTGTGCTGAAATCTAAAATAGTGAAAAGAATTATTTTTTAAAAAGTGTAATACTTATTCATTTATTCAAACAGTAACGCTGTACCATTACTACTTCCATACATATATATCTGTATGGCATGACAATATTTCACGGTATACTTAAAAGGATACTACGATAGACTAGTGTGCCAAAGCAAGGCGGTAAAAAAAATTCACTGGTATAACATTTAATCTTTTTCATAAAAGTGATTAGCTTACAAGTCATTGTCATAACTGCTATTAAAAAATTTAGTATTTATATCCAAATATATATATTTACAAAGAGACTGTGAAATAATTGTCAATATTTGTGGTCATGTGGGGAGGAATTATTATGAAAATTCCCAGCAATTCAAATAGAATTTGACTCCCCAAAAGGGTAGCTCTGTAATAAATAGATAATTCAATGTACAATTAGTTGTTGTTTCAATAAAAAGCAGGAAGATCATTAAAAATTATGCAGATAGTTTTGAAAAATAATTCGAAGCATTATTTAAAAAAAAAAAAAGAAGTCAAATCTATGTGATGAACAGTGATTCTATTTTGACAGAAAACTAGCCAATTTTTCCCACCGTGATCCACTTCTTTAGAAATCTAAGGCTGGTTACTCGGGAACTATGAAACGCGCTGTAATATTCAGCAACGAGGGTCGTTCAAAAAGTTCTAAGCCTCACTCAAAAAACGTTTTCCAGTTTCTCATACGTCTTTCCTTTAAAATTATCCCATATATATATATATATATATATATCGTATCCGAAGACGCCCGTCTGCTAGGGCGGCTTGCAAACCCCTGCTGAAACACATTTGTGTTTGTTCAACACCCACGAAGCCCTCCTGTGGTTTATACTGCAACTATGCTGAGCAGACCTTAGTTACAGTTTCTGGGAGAGAGCACGTTCTGTAGCGTTATCAACAGTCTAAACGGGGACAGCACACTTAAACCCTCGGCCACGATGACTTGTGGCTTCGTGCTTTCAAACGTTCCCATCTATTCAGTTCCACTCACAAGGCTTGGATAAATCCGTAGTATGGTTTTCAGGCACTTACCAGATGTGCCGCTTGCTGGTATCGCCTCCTCCACACCGATAACATCAAGGAGTTACCTTCCTGATAAATCAACCCTGATGAGATTCGAACCCGGTTTTCATGGTCAAAAAGCGAACGTTCTAACCCCTCCACTGTGTGTATATATATATATATATATATATATATATATATATATATATATATATACGTCTTCGCCGCGGCGTCAGCAGTTCGTTCCTCGCTGCTCCGTCCGGCTGTCGCTGCTCCAAACGTGACGTTCTAACCCTTTGGTTAGATTGATACCAGCCTCGCGGTTCCCAACCTGCTTCCAACGCCTGGTTACCAGGGTAACTGCACTGATCTCCAGTCTGCCTACCCACGTTGTGAATTGATCTTAGACAGACGAGATCAAACAGGGGTTGGGGCCGTAATGCAAGCTGAGTTCAACGGGGTGATAACACACAATTATGTATAAAAGAAAATAAAATAAAAACTCACAAAGTCCAAAGTATCAAAGAAAAAGGTAACAAAATTTTTATGTCTATTTGCTCGGTACATAGGACTATGTCTACTTCCCGACCCGTTCTGTGGATTGTGACACGACACTTTCACTAGGCAACTTTAATGCTTCAAGTTGTCTGCTCCCTAAGAAATTTGTGTTTCGGTGTGTCTTTGGACGAAAGTCGAAAAACTTATTTCTGTGGTCTGATTCTAAGTCGCTCTTCAAACTACTTGTTCTTGGTTGAAGAAGAGTCCAGAAGTGTGCGTGAATCTTGGTCAGCTATCTTGACGCGGTTTCAACACTGGGCGCTCATCTCTGCTTGTCGTCCAAGGTTCAAAACTTCTCGCCAGGGTCCGCGGCTCAACTGATTTCTGTCGGTTGGGGTGTCGCTTTTATAGACGCCGTCAAAACTGGGGTGGGTCTGTCGGCGCCAGGGGTTCTTCGATAATTCTAAATACGTATCCACCCTTCTTATTTCTGGTTAGGGATTTTTCATTCTTTTCCATTTTCGGTAACTCTCCTCTCACTCCCACTCCCTTACTGTGCCTCTGAGGGGCGTGTACCCACTTCCCCACTTCTTCATATCGGCTCCTCACACTTACACTTCTGATAGGGGCGTCGACCGATTTTCCTCGTGCGTCACGTGACCGCTCTCGGCCAATGAGGTCCTTGTCGGGTATCTTTCCTCCTCCTTCATATGTCATGTAATCTATTTAGCCAATGACGTCTTAGTCGTGCGTGGACAATCCGTGGCTTTGTTTGGGAAAGAAATACCTTGCTTAAAAAACAAAAATATTAATTAAATCGCCCTTATCATGAGCGACTGAGATGACACTCGGCTTTTTAACACGTGGTATTTGTCAAGCAGTTTATCGCTAATTGGATATGATCTAAGAAAGGAATTTCTCAGACTAGTTGGCGTTTCTGAAGCGAAAATAAAAATATTTCATTTTCCTTTCGCTCGAAGCTTGATAACAAAAATCTTTATTATCGCAGGGCGGGCATTTATTCTGTCAAAAGAAAAATTTTGCCTGTGACAACATCTTGTGTGGGCTTTTTCTAATTCTGAAGACTGTGTTTTCGTATTAATGGTTTGTCTTCATATCCTTAGATACACTTACCCACCCACTTAGACCTCTACTATCATTCCAATGACACACTTTCCCACTTGTTACTTATCAATATTTTCATTGTCCCTAAACTTCGTTTCTTCTTTTCCTCCTTTCTTTCTTTTCCCTTGGGTGACATCCAATTGATAACAAACTTCCATTTTTCGTGGACACGCGGAAATCGGTCAAATGCTTGTTCCTCAGGTGACCTGAATATTTTCGACACTTGCTATCTATCAGTTCTAGCCGTGTGTGTGTGTGCTCGCCTATGACCTGTTTTCGTATTATTTTTTCTTTCTTTCTTCTTCGTTTTCCCTTTCTTTCTCCCACATCACTTGAATGTAAAGAAAGAATTATTCTTAAAACCCAAAATATTTTTAGGCCTTAAATAATTATTAAATGGTTGATAAACCGTAAAAAACAAATCATATATCTATGAATATTTCTTTCAACTCGTCAGGTATGCATGGTGCCATGATATATATATATATATATATATATATATATATATATATATATATATATATATATATATATATGCGAGGGTCGTTTTAAGTCTCACCCAGAAAGAAGAGTCATAGCTGATCATGGTGAGAGGTGTGCGACAAATCTAAAAATGGACAAAACAGAGACCCTAGCAGTCATAAATTATCTGCAAAATAAAGGTATGACACTCAAGGAAATGCATGAGATCATGGCACAGACACTTGTTGGGGACTCCCCATCCTATGCAACTGTGAAGAAGTGGACTATGGAATTCAAGCGGGGCAAAGGACAGTACAGAAGATAACCCACGGTCGGGTTGTCCAAAATCCTTAAACACTGATGAATATGTTGATGCCATTCGCTATATGGTTTTGGATGACAGACGTCTTACTGTCCAGTTAAGTCCATAGGCATTAGTTCTGGCTCGGTCCATACTGTTTTAACTGAGATCTTGTGGATGAGCAAGCTGTCTGCACGATAGGTTCCAAGAATGCTAACACCAAAGCAGAAGCTGAAAAGTCTTGACATTTCCAGGACACTTCTAACTTGCTTCCGGGCTGACAGTAAGACTTCCTACTGCAGATTAGTAACTCAAGATAAAATCTGAGTTCATCACTTCCAACTTTAATCAAAAATTCAAAGCAAACAGTGGAAACAAGCTGGTTCTCCACCTCGAAGAAGTTCAAGTCGGTAGCGTCTGTTGGCAAAGTGATTTTTGAAATTATGATAGATTACCTGAAAAAGAGAAGAAAAAAAACTATTAATGGACAATAATATGCATTAGAATTAAGACAACTGAAGGAAGGAGTCAAGTCGAAACGCAGAGGAAGATGAGGACAGGTGTGTTCTTGCTTTAGGATAACACGCGCGTTCACACTGCTCAGGTTGAAGTAGACGAAGGCAGCCAACAGTGGCTTTGAATTACTACTCCATCCCCTTTATTCACCAAACTTAGCTCCATCTGATTTCTTCCTGTTTCCTAAACTCAAATACTGCGTGGTTGCCGTATTGGAAACAATGATGAGATCATATGTGCTGTGGAGGAGTTTCTGAAGGACCAGGATGTCACCTTCTTCCGGAATAGGATTGCAATGCTTAAGCATCATTGGAGCAAGTGAATTGATGACAACGGGTATTATATTGAAAAATATTTTTAAAAAATTGTTTAGTTTTTCCAACTCCTTCTGGGTGGGGGGGACTTTATGAACGACACTCGTAAGCCAATTTGATCATTATTCCATTTCAAGTCTCTCCGGTATTTTTCTGATGAGATAATTTAATTATTTAATTTTTCGAAACAGTATTTTCAGCTGTTAGCTTATACTCCTTTGCAGCACACTGGTACATTTATATTCTTCTAAAATTCGCATCCAATTCCAATGAGATAAATATCCTCAGGTTTCACACCAAGCTAGGCCATTAATACAAATCCGTACTGCTCAAAACCACTTTTAATTGGATGATGCTTTCATAGAAAGCGCCGTTGTGACGGACTCTAAATTTGTCACAATCCTGTGGTGCTGTTGAATGGCTTCAAGATGTCTGGACAATCAAAGTACTTCGCTTGGCCAATCGTGGCGTCCCGGCTTATGGGAACGTTACAATAACGAAGGACATAGCGTCTACACTAACAAAGGAAAATAGCCGAGGATTACTGAATGGGTAACAATATGATGAATCTCGTGCAAATAATGGCCGGATTGTGCGCACAGATAGATACCGGCTGGTCTTGCATCAAAAGACATGTATATGAGCGAAAAGGCGGAAGCTCATTGATTAAAACCTATCTATATTGCCCGATGGTTGAAACAGTTGAAATATTTACAACTGGTGTTTGCACAATACTCGAATCGTAGGAAGAAACGAACTATCAGACGCGGTATATTCAGACGTGTTTCTTATCATGGGAGACGATGACAGATCATTTTTCAAGTCGCCCAGTAACAATATGAGTAACCTTCTAATCAAATATACGTTACCACATTGAATAAGTATTTTTTAATATATATATATATATATATATATATATTGAACAATAAAAAAATTAAAAAATTAAAATCTTTAGACACACTGGGTTGTAGATTAATATTCTTTCGTTTTTTTTTTTATTATTATTCCATTTAGATTCCTCGATTAGTTCCGACCAAAATGGCCATCATCGGGAGGAGAAATATTTCTACTTGCTGTTAGCACTAAACTACAGAAATGAATATTTTGCTGGAGAAAATGAACTTTTGTCTGTAGTTTTCATTTGTTTTTTTATTTTTTTATCTTTTTAACATGAATCTTTTAACAATCCTTGTGTTGGTCAAACAGTCTCTTTTAAGTTGTTATTTGAGATAAGAGCTGAACAGATACATGTTGCTCTGAATTCTCTGGTCAGTTTGACAGTTTTATTGGACCTGGTGAGGGGACGTGTCTCTGTTTAGTGTTTGTGTGGGTGTCATTTGGTTCTTAGGGAGTGAGTGAGTATGATATGTGTAAGCGTGTGTATTGCTGTAGGTGTGTGTTATCATTTGGCTCATTAGGGAGTGAGTGAGTATGATGTGTGTATATATTCGTGTGGGTGTGTGTATAAGTGTGAGGCCTCAACACCTCCGTAACCATGTCTGTCTTGTGTGGGTGAGAAATGTGGGTAGGTTTTGATTTGTTGAGTTATATATTAATACTATCTATATTGTTAAATTTGTGGTTTAGCCCGGCTGGAAAGCAGAGAGAGAGAGAGAGAGAGAGAGAGAGAGAGAGAGAGAGAAATTGTATATTAATTTTATATAACATAACAGAGTTAGGAAAATTACAGACAAATTGGAAAAAAATCATGAAACGCGTTTTGCCCTTTCGGGCTTCAACGAACTCCTAAGTTGTTTTACGTTGGTGTAACTACACACGTGCACAAAAGTGTGGGGACGCAGAAATTTTAAACATGTAAATTTATTTATTTTTTCTAAATATGTGTTCCGGTATGTAATATAGCCAATTCCATACGTTCTGTTTTTTTTTTTTTTTTTTTTTTTTTTTATCGAAATGTTTATTTGCACTGTTTCGTATTCGAACCGTAAACAAAGGAATTTCTGAAGAGCAAATGAATTTTACCTTTTTAATCCTGCATATATTTCTTTTTCTAAGGACACCTCGATGTGGTGTAATAGTTAGCCAGCTTATCTCGCTAAAACAATTACGAATGAGTAGTGAGTGCGATCCTCACTGGGTACCCCTTACTTTCGGCCTTGCGCCGAATCCAAGCTTACACAAGAATATCTTGAAATACTAAAGAGTAAAGTTATACAATAAACTTACTATTGGCTTTAACTACGACTTTGGAATCTCTTGCTACTCTTCTGAGTAGTCTATTTGTTTAAGTTGGTATTACAAGGAGTTTTCTTATGTCTCGTTCAACTGCGCCCCACACAATAATTAAGTGTGTTGCAGTCTGGGGTAGTTAGATGTAAGGGTTGACGTAGTGACAGAAATTGTCTGACAGCCATGATTGCTTTATCCTGCATGTGTGAAATGGTGTAGAGTCCTGTTACCAAACACTGGCTCTCCCAGCAGCCACCCTCTTGACCCAGGGCAGCAGTACCTCATTAATGTAATTCATGTAGGCCTCCGTGTTGAGTCTGAGCCCCTCACCATCAAATTAGAGAGTTCTCTTCCGAGTTCTCGGAATGATTTGAGTGAGTTTTCGGGGCTGACCTACCTTAGTAATCACCATTAGACTCATCCACCTCTTTCCGAATCTTCTGCACTGTCCTCAGATTGGCGCCCAAGCGCTCTGAAATGTTCGCATTGGAGCTTCCGGCGCGAATGACAAGCAATGCAACATGGCGTTTCCCAAATTTCCGGCAGAGTGATTTGCGTCATAGTGCTCCTTTTCTCATAGACGGTGCCCAACTGACCCTACTATACTGTGCAGTCGACAAAAGCGAACAACGCACATGCATCTTTCTCTCTCACTATCTTTATATATATATATATATATATATATATATATATATATATTAATAAACATAAAATTTGTAAAAAAAAAAATAAATACCTTACAACATAAGTTTCTCCCATCTGATCTGGAATTGTGATGCTTCCATCTTTATAATTATAAATTGCTAGTATCTAACGCATTCAATTCTGCAGTTAACGTCTATTTTAAATATGAAACTGAACAATTTTTAATGTACACAAACACAGAAATTCACACACATATATATATGTGTGTGTGTGTGTTTGTGTTTATTTATATATAGAACCTCTAGCAGGTGACTCAAAGAGAATTCACACCCTCCGCCTCCCTACATATAAAGGCTTTATAAACATTGTGTGCACGTATGCACCAACACTCCAAAACACCCCATTTCAACGCTCAGCTTGCAAGGGTTAGCAAGTGTATCCCAGCGTGTGAAAATATTTACATTCTAGGGGACTTCAATGCGAGGGTGTACACTGATCAAGAGTCCTGGTCCAACGTTTTAGGTGACCAGGATATGGGGAAAATAAATGTGCAAATGATTACTGGCTCCAATTGACATATAACATCCAACGGGCTTCGGACAACGGCAACACCTGGAAAATGTACGAAAGCAACCAATAAAAATTATCCGTCTCTCAAAACAAATATCGGGAAATTAATTATAGAAAAACACAAACAAAAATGATGATGGATAGAGCGCTACCTAGAACTTTACTCAAGAGTAAGTCCGTCATTTAAGAAGCGCTTTGCTGTTATTGAGGTTTTGCCAGTTCTGGAAGAGTTGAACTCTGAACCTACAGAAGAAGAGCTTAGTAATGCCATTGATTTTCTCGCTTACGGGTATAGACAGCATACTGACAGAGATTGTCTTATGCAGTAAGCCAGCTTTACCGAAACCATTCTATAGTCTTCTGGGTCTCTGCTAAAGAGAAGGTAAGGTTTCTCGTGACATGCGCAGTATCAAGATAATTACCCTGTATAAAAACAAGGCTGGCCGCATTGACTGGAATAACTAAGGGGGTAGCTCCTGCTCCAGCTTCGTCAGTCACACCTGCAGAAGAGACTGGCATGCAACAATTGAACTCTTAAACCCCTCCAGACCATGCTCAAAAAAGGAATGAATAATTTTACCAAAGCAGACGCTAACATAACCTGGCGAGATGAATGAAAGCCTAATATATATATATATATATATATATATATATATATATATATATATATATGTATATATAAATATTGATAATATTAGCGGTAAATATACACATACATATGCAATCATATATCTATATTTGTATAAAAAATAATTCCAAGAGGATAGAATCCAGGTAGATATTAGTGGTAAATATACACATACATATGCAATTTGGATTTTATTATATATATATATATATATATATATATATATATATATATATATATATAGAGAGAGAGAGAGAGAGAGAGAGAAAAAAAGAAAGAGAGAAAAGAAAGAGAGAAGGAATATCGACTGAAAATACCAAAAGGGTAAAACCAAGATAGCGGAATCGGCTGATTTCCTTATGTTCTATACTTAAAAGATCCACATATTAATTTTTTATCTTTTTATATGTATATTGAGCACATTTTTAAATACTACTGTTTCTTGGTCGAATTCAACTCTGACAATTAAGTTTTTATCGCTTTCGTTAAAAAAGAATGTTGCTGGTATTTTAGTCCATTTTTATTTGAATATTGCATTTTCTTTATTCCTCTTTTTCTTATTTTACCTTCTTGATTTTTCTTTCTTCTTCCTCTTTCCTCTTTCCTGTTCTTTTACTTTATTTCTTTATTGACTTTTTTTAATATCAGACGATTTTCTACTTTTTTTTAGTTTTCTTTTTTTATGTTTTCTTATTTTATTTTCCTAATAGTTTTCTTTCTATTTTCTAGTCTCAAACGTTTTCTTTCTTTTTTAGTTCTTTCTATGAGTGGTGATTGAAAAATTCTCGATCTATACCACTTCCGATAATCTGACCAAATGACCAATCATCAGTTTATATATATATATATATATATATATATATATATATATATATATATATATATATATATATATATATATATATATATATATATATATATATATATATATATATATATATATATATATATATATATATATATATATATATATATATATATATATATATATACATCGAGTCTAGAAGAAAACTCAGCAGAATGAATAAAGCACTGGACGGCCGTTTCGTCCTATATTTGGGATTCATCAGCAGTGCACATCACTACCGAGAATTGAAACCCGGACAGTTACGTATCGGACAAACTTCATACCAATTGTTCAATGGGCCTCAGTGACGAAGAGGTAGCGAATCAGACACAAACATACTTTTTCGCTGTATCACAGCTCATCAGAGGTGCTAGACATCTAATCGTTTCAGGCCAAGACCGAAACCCGAGCGATTTGCTATCAGTCCAATGTTCTAGGCCATCGACGCCCGGCAGAGAGAAAAGGCATATTTTTATGTATTTATTTTTTTCATAAACACAACAGTCACTCAGAGAACTCAATCGCTAGGAGAGTCTTGCATTATCAGCAGTAATAGTGACGTTTTACAAATTCGTTACTCCCTACATTGCTCGACCGATTATATATATATATATATATATATATATATATATATATATATATATATATATATATATATATATATACGCTTGAAGATTGCGTTGAAGCATGAAATAGTCACCGCTTAATGCTGACCTCAATGTCTAATTTTACATTTACATACGCTCTGTCTTTGA